TTCCTACCACCACTCTTCCTTGTGTTCACAGAACCCTGGCTTTGGAAGAACAAAGCGCTTAACATATATTCAAACGATGGTTGTTATTAATAATGCCAACTGTTTAGATTTGCATAACTCGATTCCTCCTAAGAATTTAAACCTTTCACACATATTGTCTAATTCTTTCTCAGAAATTTTATTAGAAAAATGTTCCCAGGTTGCTATGGAAAAGTTCTTTAAAACATTTAAACATATCTCAGCCTAATCTATACTCTTTCCCCCCTACCCCAGGCTAGCACATTTCCATTCTGATTATCTGTCTTTGAAATAGCAATTTTCAAACCAGAAACCTAAAAGCAACTGTAAACCTCCAATCTCTCACCAAACTCTTGCTTCCTTTCCATACCTAGAGGCAGCTCCTCTCCTGAGGGTTTCAAAAGTAGCTCAGGACCCACCTCCCCCAGCCATCCTCCCTTTGGTATTCATTTTGCTCCTGGTAAAATTAAGAGGTGAAAACAATAGTTACAATGCATTGAGTGCCTACTCTGCCCTGGGCACTGTGCTAATTGCTTTATATACATTGTCTTATCTATCCTTATAGCAGAGACTTCTATTTGTCCCCTAGTATCATAGTCTAACCGCTTACAGTGAATATTACATACTAGAGGCCCAGTGCACAAATTCATGCACCAGTGGGATCCCTCGGCCTGGCCTGCGGGATCGGACCAAAACCGGCTCTCCAACATCCCCAAGGAGTCCCAGATTGCGAGAGGGCGCCGGCCAGGCCAAGGGACCTCACCGGTGCATGATCGGGGCTGGGGAGGAACACTGGAGGTTGGCCAGCCAGGGAGGAACCGCGAGAGGGCTCCAGGGCATGTCCAGCCCATCTTGCTCAGTCCCGATGGGCCAGACCCCAGCAGCAAGCTAACCTACTGGTCAGAGCGCCCCTGCCCCCTGGTGATCAGTGCACGTCATAGCGACTGGTTGACTGGTCAACTGTCTGCCCCTGGTGGTCAGTGCACGTCACAGCAAGCAGTTGAGTGGTCTTAGCATATCATTAGCATATTACACTTTGATTGGTTGAACGGATGATCGGATGACCGGACACTTAACATATTAGGCTTTTATTAAATAGGACTAGGGGTCCCTCGGCCTGGCCTGCGGGGATAGGGTTGAATCCGTGCACCAGGCCTCCGATATCCCCCAAGGGGTCCCGGATTGCGAGAGGGCACAGGCCAGGCCGAGGGACCCCACTGGTGCATAAATCCGTGCACCGGGCCTCTAGTATTTTAATTAGAAGTAAAAAAATAAACAAAGTGGGTTTATATATAGCACTGAGCCAATTATTCAAAATAGTGAGGTTTCTTTGCCTTGTTGAAATATATTTACATATATATGGTAACTATGTATACATACAGTTATCCTAAAATGAGCTAATGTATTCATTTTGTATTTTTCATCAAAATTTTCTTTAACTAAAAAGCGATCACATCATTTTTATATTTCTTAAGCTAGTTAACTAACCATTCAGAGTTTTTTAAAAAATAGCAAAACAACCACTTTGTCTCTTTGCCCAAAGCTTGACTTCAGGAGCTAAATTTTTAGTTGAAATTGAAGCCTGTATTCTTTTCCCAAGCATTCAACATTTATTACCTGGGAGACTTCTTTGTCAGCAGAGCACATATTAAACCAGTTAGTAGAAGTATGTTTAGATTGTATATGTTAATTTACATTTGACAAACTTGCTTCTCTGGTGCCTACTGGGACGCTAGCTAAATGTGCAGCCTGGTTGTATTTAACCAAACTCATATAAACAGAAAAGCCAAATCCCCACACAGGGCATAAAAACATGAATTACATGATCCAGCGAGGGTTCCTGAGGGAAATGGCAGCTTCCAAGAAGAAAAGAAATTATTCAGTGTAAGTCAGTCTTTGATGATTCATGTATTTCCACTATGTGTGAGAGATAAAGAAGCACCCTTAATAAGAGCACAGTAAGCAAAAAAAAAGGTAAATATAATAGTGTTATCTTCTTCTCTTGAGTCTTCTAAATTATGTTTAATGATTAAAGGCAAAATTATACTATATGATGTGGTTGTAAATGTATGCAGAGAAAAATATTTAAGACATCTCTATTATGAAAAGGAAAAGGAAAAGGGATATAAAGAGAGGTAAAATTTGTACACTTTAGGAAAAACTGGCAAAATGATGAGACCAAAAGTCAAGTCAGTGATAAGGAGAGAGAGAGAGAGAGAGAGAGAGAGAGAGAGAGAGAGAGAGAGAGAGAGAGAGAGAGAGAATGCGAAACACTATAGGTAAGTCGAAATAAAATTCTACAAAATGTTCAAGTAAACCACAGACTGACAGGAAAAGAAAACAGAGAACTTCAAAAAATAATAAAACAGAGAGGACAAACAAAAAGCAAAAGATAAAATACAAATTTAAACTTTAACACTGTTATGCCCAGATTTCAGGATCCCCAAAAGACCACCAGGGAGCCAGCCATGTCCAATGCAAAAGCAAAGAGTCTTTTATTCAAACCCGGGTCTGGCTCCCCTACCCTCCTTACTGACACTGCAGCAGGTGGCAGAGAGAGACCTAGCCCGGTGTGAAGAGGAGTTTTATAGGGGGGTGGAGTAAGGGCAGGAGAGGGGACTGTGGGCCCTGCCAATTGGCCAGGCGCAAGTCAGTGTCTCGTTACACAGGATGTGGTCATATCGATGGCCTGCACTTCCTTTGATTGTCATTGGTTAGTTTAGAGAAATCCTGGGTGTGGCTAGCAGAGGCTTGGGCTTCCGGGAAGAGGCCTTGCCGAACACATGGCTGTGCCCCAACATGGAGGATACGGGGCAAGATGGAGGGCGCAGCCCTCGCCCTTTCAAACATAACAATATTACATTAAATGTAAATAATATGGTTGAAAGTTAAAAGACAGAAAGAGATATGTCATGCAAACATTAGTCAAACGAAAGCAGGAATAGCTGCATCAATATCAGATAAAGTTGACTTCAGAGCAAAAAAAATTATCAGAGACAGAGAGAGATATTATACAATGTTAAGAAGATCAACTAACCAACAAAACATAGCAATCCTAAATGTGAATGTACCAAACAACACAACTGTGAAATATATAAAGCAAAAATTCATAAAATTGAAAGGAGAAATAGACAAACCCACAAGTATAGCTGTAGACTTTAACACCCTTCGAGTAACAACTTATAGAACAACCAGACAGAAAATCATCATGGATAAAGTACTCAATACCATCAATCAGCAGAATCTAATCAGCCTTTGTAGAACACTCTACCCAACAAAAGCAGAATACACATTCTTTCCAAGTGTCCACAGAACATATACCAAGATAGACTATATTATGAACCATAAAACAAACCTCAACAAATTTAAAAGAATTAAAATCATACAGAGTGTGTTCTGTGACCAAAATAGAATTAAACCAGAAATTAATAACAACAATAACAGGAAAATCTCCATACACTTGGGAATTAAACAAGACACTTCTAAATAATCCATGGTTCAAAGAGGAAGTCTCACTTATGCCTCCAACCTCTGCACATTGTCACCAAGCACTCTCTGTTCACTGTCACGTCAGCTTTGAGAACCGTGCTCATATTGCATGACCTGCTAGACCAGCTTTAGGAAGGACCTCGGGATGTCATGATTTCAGAAACCATGAGAAAAGTCAATCCCTGTCCCACCACAAAAATAGTATTTTTCCTTGGGTAATTCTCAAAATTCCTTTTTGTGGGGGGTCAAAACTATTATTTCTCAGATAGAAGCAAGTCAAAATACAAATGCCTTTGAAATTTATAGAAATAAACATGGTAAACCCTAAGTTCTTTAATTAACCATTGATTAAAATTAACGTACTAGGGATCTAATTGTACAGTTTGGTGACTATGGTTAACAGTACTGTATTATATACTTTAAAGTTACTGAGAGAGTAGATCTTATGTTCTCACCAAACATACACAAAAAAATGGGAATTATGGCCCTAGCTGGTTTGGCTCAGTGGATAGAGCATTGGTCCGCAGACTGAAGGGTCCTGGGTTCCATTCCAGTCAGCTCAGGCTCTGGTCAGAGTACGTGCAGGAGACAACCAATCGGTGTGTTTCTCTCACATCAATGTTTCTCCCTGTCTTTCTTTCTCTCTTCCACTCTATCTAAAAATCAATGGAAAAAAATATCCTCGGGTGAGGATTTAAAAAAAAAAATTTAATGTAATTATGTGAGGTGATGGAAGCGTTTACTAATTTTATAATTTCACAATATATACATATATCAAAACATCATGCACACACCTTAAACTTACACAATGTTATATGTCAATAATATCTCAATAAATCTGGGGGGAAATAAAATCTTTAAAAAAATGGAACCCACAAGTTTTTTTGATAGAAGAGCTTTGAGAGATTGAGAAGCTTTGAACTAGTGCCAAGAGACCTTGAGAATACTCTGCACAGAACTAACGATTACACCTTGTTATGTAAATAAAAGAAGAACTGGAAAATATTTACCAGTCAGTTAACTTGAGGCCACTAAAAATACAAACATAAGATAGGCTGAAGGGTTAGAATAATTCTTTGTCACACTTATACTTTTTCTGTATTTTGTCATCATAAAATTCAGTAGTTCATGCACAGAGGTCTCATGGGGTTTTACTCTAACCATAATGATTAATGATTACACAACCTCTAACCCTGAGACTATAAAATATTTACTTAAATGTCCATTGTAGAAAATTGCATTTACCAATCATTGTTTATTGGTTATAGGAAATTGCATTTTGTAATATTTAACTCCCAACAATTTCACTGAGCTTGTTATAAATAAGTCAACCAGTATAAAAACTATTCAGATCCTCTTGGGTTTAGTTAAAGTCACCTGTATTTTCCCTGGTACCAATCATTATATGAGAAAATATAAACAGTAAGTATGACAGAGATATTTTATTTTATTTTATTTTATTTTATTTTATTTTATTTATTTTTGGCCTTTGAAATTGTCTTTATTTCTGATCATTCCTTACAACCATCCACCCAAGGATTAACTCCCACACATGCACCTCGAGCCCAAATACCCCTCCCCCTCCAAGCACATCAGATTCATATTTCTGATTCTAGGACACTTGTCCCCTGAGGTCCCATGAACTCCCCAACATTTGCCCCTGTAATCGTGGACCTGGGCTTGGTCCCTTCCTTTCCCCATTCACAGGAGCATGAATCTGGAACGTGGATGCCCCCTGCATAATGCACCTGGTTCTATATTACAGCTTCCAAGGGACCAGAACAAAGCTTCTGCTGAGTGTTCCCACTGAGCAGGGTCATTACAGGGGCACAGCACGGCTACATGTCATGAAAACTCCACCTCATAAACTTTATTTTTGCCACATTTGCCAAGACAGATGGTCCTGGGCCGTCCTAACTCCCTCAGTATCCCCATGAGCTCAGCCCGGATCTGGGCAAGTCTCTCCTTGTTGACAGTCCCCTGGATCCTGTAACACTCCAGGGGGACAGGGTACAGCTCGTGCTCTAAACTGCGCAGCCCGGCTGTGTGGCGCAGCAGCTTCTCCACGGTGGCCATGGAAAAGTTGTTCTCAGAGGTGGTGAAGACCCTGAGCTGGTGACAGTGGCTCAGGACAGGCAGGATGGCCTCAACTTGGGAGTCCACCATCCCACAGTTATCCAGGCCCAAGTCCTCGAGTGTGGGTGCCACTGCCTCCAGCAGAGCTCGGAGGGGCTCAAGACTAAAATCCGTGAGGCTGAGGCCAAATAGATGCAGGGACTTCAGCTGCCTGAGGTTTGGGCACTGGAACAGGTGTGTCAGGTCTGAATGTGTCAGCCGATGGCAATTTGTTACGGAGAGTTTGTCCAAGGGGGTCTGCAGGCACCTGAGCATCTGGTCCAGACGGCCTCGGAGGAAGGAGGGAGAATCCATGTTGAGGTCCCGGAGGTGCCGCAGGCTGAGCATCTGAGAGAGGAATTGGGAAAAGGATCCCTGCTCCTCCTGCTGTTTCCTGCCCCAATCCTCTTCCTCCTCCCACTCCTGCTCCTCCCACTCCTGCTCCTCCTCCCCTTCCTCCCCTATCTCTTCCTCTTCCTCCTCCTCCTCTGTCAACATGTGAATGTGGGAGAGAGAGAGTCTCTGCAGGTTACTCATCTGACCCAGGTAGAGAGCAAACGTCCCCAGGGTGGGCAGGTCCCAGGTGCACTTTACTTTCACCTCCTGGATGCAGTCCAGCTGCACCCCGTCCAGGACCCTCCTGACCCTCTGGAAGGGCACCTCAGAAATCCTCAGCGCCTTGCAGCACAGGTGTAGCAACCCTTCCCTCTGCCGGGCCCATTGGATGATGTACATGAGAAACTCATCCCCGTCCCTTTCATTGAAGTTAAGGTCTAGGAACACCTCCAAGGGAGCCAAGGGGTGCTCCATGTTGGGGCTGGAGCTGTGCACAGCCACTGGTTCCGTCGGTGAGCAATTCTGGGTGCTATCTCCACACCACATTATCCAGAAGTTGGCACCCGAGTTCCTTAAATCCAGCACTCGCAGTTTCCACCTCCTGGGCCGAACCTCCTGGGCAATCAGAACGTCAAGCCCATCCAACACGGCTTTTAAGACCTTATCCGGGGACAACTGTGACAGGCAGCCCAGAGGGAGGACGGTGAAGGGCCAGGCGTGCACCATGGCCTTCAGGGGCTTCCGCTTTCTCCTATGGTAGGCGTGAATGAAGAGTGGAGGGAAGAGCTCAGCAGGCAGGTACTCCAGAGCTGCAATGGCTGAGGCCTGGTCCCTCAGCAAGCTCCTTCCTGCCAGCCTCAGGAGTGTGGGTGGGGTCCAGATACTCATCTTCAAGGTGCTCAGAAAGGAATCCTGCAGAAACTTCTGCTGTGACTGGGTTGGCTGGGGCTCAGATCTCAGACCTGGTGGAGAGCCACGGCACTGACTGCACAGCTGGAGGACTCTGAATCTCTCCTCTGGTGCCTGAGGTTTTTATTCACCTCCTCAAATGTTAACATCCAATCAGAACCCTCAGTCTCCATCCCTTAATCTTATTGGGATTACTTCCTCTCTCCAGATTAAAGGATTGAGAGAAAGTTAGGGAGGGGCAGGGTTGAGGCCTGGCTCATGGATTCCTTCCACAGACACTGACTGAGGTTGACTGATGGCCTCCAGTTGTCATCCTCAGTGTGGGACAATGAAGGTGTAATGGTTAACTGATGTTAAATAGGAAAAAACACAACCTGAGAGCGTGGTGGCTGCGGGTCTTTGGCCACATTAGAGTAACCCAAATGTATCCACAGTTAAAACAGCCAACGCCCACAGCTGACACCCTTTGGTGTCATCCCCAAAGAAAACAAATGAAATGTGTCCATGCATCAAGTGAGGTTTTATGTCAGATGACATAGCAGATCATGAGCTCCACAGGGATTAAGGGGTGGGCAATTGAGCATGTGAGCGGCCCTTCATACCCCAAGGCTTGTGTGAGGGAGGTCAGGTAAGAATCACTATGAGAAGCAGGGTCAGGGCTGGGCGGGGTGGGGGGTGGGCCCTCCTAATGGAACCCTATGAATGACACAAGGCCAAGTAAAAGATGGGTATTTTTTCTTGGAAAGAAGAGAGATGGAAAGACTCTTCTCTGGGTGAATTTAGGAAAAAAGAAGGAAAGCTGGAGTAGAGACAGTGCCATCCTAGAGGGCAAAGGGAGAGATTCCATCTTCTATCCTTCCCAGGAGGAAAGGGTGGGTCTCCTCTGGGAAAGATGGGATTAGCTCAGCAACTGGGTGCAGAAGATTAAATCTAAGAATGTGATTAGGGGGAAAGAGGCCAGGCCTTGGAGTCAAACATTTTCAATCCTGAAAGGCACTGAAGGCAGATGCATGGGCTCTTTGGGATCTTGAAGCCAGAGAGAGAAATAAACATGGACCAATCACAAGTAACCCTGTCACATCATGGAAGCTGGCACCAGAAAACATTTATCTGAGAGTCAGGATTCTTCCACAGAGAACCCTTGCCAGACAGCAAGTGCCTTCCCTCCATGGCCCCATTCCTGCCCTCATGGCACCCCTTCACTTCACTACACCCCAAATCATCTCCCTTATGACCACCAGCCCCCAAAGTCTCCACTTCAGTAAGCCTGTCCCCCAATATCACTCAGTACTATATTTGTCTGACATCCGTGTGGTCTGCTGGACCAGAGGCTTTCTTAAATATTTTTTTAATTCTTTATTAGTTAAGGTATTACAAATATGTCCTCACCTCCCCCCCCCATTAATCCCCAAACCCCCCCCCCCCACTCATGCTCTCATCCCCCTGTTGTCCATGTCCATTGGTTGGCTTATATGCATGCATATAAATCCTTCAGTTGATCTCTTCCCCTTACCCCCTCCCTCCCCTATTTTCCTTCTGGGGATTGATAGTCTGATCACTGTTTCTCTGTCTTTGGATCTGTCCCTGTTCATCAGTCTATGTTGTTCTCTATAATCCACAAATGAGTGAGATCATGTGGTATTTATCTTTCTCTGACTGGCTTATTTCACTTAGCATAATGCTCTCCAGTTCCATCCATGCTGTTGCAAAAGGCAAGAGTTCCTTCTTTTTTACCGCAGCATAGTATTCCACTGTGTAGATGTACCACAGTTTTTTAATCCACTCATCTGCTGATGGGCATTTAGGCTGTTTCCAAATCTTAGCTATGGTGAATTGTGCTGCTATGAACATAGGGGTGCATATATCCTTTCTGATTGGTGTTTCTGTTTTCTTGGGATATATTCCTAGAAGTGGGATCACTGGGTCAAATGGGAGTTCCATTTTTAGTTTTTTGAGGAAGCTCCATACTGTTCTCCACAGTGGTTGCACCAGTCTGCATTTCCACCAGCAGTGCAGAAGGGTTCCTTTTTCTCCACATCCTCTCCAACACTTGTTGTTTGTTGATGACAGCCATTCTGACAGGTGTGAGATGATACCACATTGTCATTTTGATTTGCATTTCTCGAATAATAAGTGACTTTGAGCATGTTTTCATATGTCTTTCAGCCTTCTGTATGTCCTCTTTCAAAAAGTGTTTATCTAGGTCCGTTGCCCATTTTTTTATTGGATTGTTTATCTTCCTATTGTTAAGTTTCATGAGTTCCCTGTAAATGTTGGAGATTAAACACTTATCGGTGATATCATTGGCAAATATGTCCTCCCATGTAGTGGGTCTTCTTGTTGTTTTGTTGATGGTTTCCTTTGCTGTGCAAAAGCTTTTTATTTTGATGTAGTCCCATTTGTTTATTTTCTCTTTAGTTTCCATTGCCCTAGGAGCATTATCAGAGTAGAAATTCCTTCGGCATATGTTTGTGATTTCGCTGCCTGTGGATTCCTCTAGTATTTTTATGGTTTCCCCTCTTACATTTAAGTCTTTTATCCATTTTGAGTTTATTTTTGTGTATGGTGTGAGTTGGTGGTCTAGTTTCATCTTTTTGCATGTATCTGTCCAATTTTCCCAACACCATTTATTGAAGAGACTGTCTTGACTCCATTGTATGCTCTTGCCTCCTTTGTCAAATATTAATTGGGCATAGTGGTTTGGGTCAATTTCTGGGGTCTCTATTCTATTCCATTGATCTATATGTCTGTTCTTGTGCCAGTACCAAGCTGTTTTAAGAACAGTGGCTTTGTAATACATTTTGATATCTGGTATTGAGATCCCACCTACTTGGTTCTTCTTTCTCAGGATTGCTGCAGCTATTCGAGGTCTTTTTTTATTCCAGATGAATTTTTGGAATGTTTTTTCTAGATCTGTGAAATATGCCATTGGTAATTTAATGGGGATTGCAGTGAATCTATAGATTGCTTTGGGTAGTATGGACATTTTGATGATGTTGATTCTACCAATCCATAAACACGGTATGTTCTTCCATCTGTTTATATCTTCCTCTGTCTCTTTTTTCAGTGTCCTGTAGTTTTTCGCATATAAGTCTTTTACCGCCTTAGTTAAGTTTATTCCTAGGTATCTTAATTTTTTTGGTGCAATGGTAAATGGGATTGCTTTTTTAGTCTCACTTTCTGTAAGTTCACTATTGGTGTAAAAAAATGCCATGGATTTCTTGGCATTAATTTTGTATCCTGCTACATTGCTGAATTCATTTATTAAGTATAATAATTTTTTGATGGAGTCTTTAGGGTTCTCTATGTACAGTATCATGTCATCTGCAAGTAAGGACAGTTTTACTTCTTCTTTTCCAATTTGGATGCCTTTTATTTCTTCTTCTTCTCTGATCGCAACGGTTAGTAATTTCAGTACTATGTTGAACAGGAATGGTGAGAGGGGGCATCCCTGTCTTGTTCCTGTTTTTAGGGGGAATGGTTTTAGTTTTTGCCCATTGCTTATGATGTTGGCTGTGGGTTTGTCATATATGGCTTTTATTATGTTGAGGTATGATCCCTCTATTCCTATCTTGCTGAGAGTTTTTATCAAGAAAGGGTGTTGGATTTTGTCAAATGCTTTTTCTGCATCAATTGATATGACTGTGTGGTTTGTTTCTCTCAATTTGTTTATGTGATGTATTACATTTATTGATTTGTGGATATTGTACCATCCTTGCATTCCTGGGATAAATCCTACTTGGTCATGGTGTATGATCTTTCTGATGTACTGCTGTATCCGATTTGCTAGGATTTTGTTGAGGATTTTGGCATCTATGTTCATGAGGGATATTGGCCTGTAATTCTCTTTCATTGTGTTGTCTTTATCTGGTTTTGGTATTAGGGTGATGCCGGCTTCATAGAATGAGCTGGGAAGTGTTCCTTCCTCTTAAATTTTTTGGCATAGTCTGAGGAGGATAGGTTTTAGGTCTTCCTTGAATGTTTGGTAAAACTCCCCTGACAGAGACATTTTAAAACAACGCAAAATAACCCCAACTTTCTCCTCTGCAGCCCTAAAGTATAAGTGGCTGAAATCTGTGCCTTCCTTTGGGTTATAATTGGGGAGAAGAGCTAGAGGGCAGTAGAGCCCAGTGATCTCTCAAGGGAAAGGGTCCCACATGCAGAGTAAGATGGAGATGTGGGGTGATTCAGAAGAAGAAGAAGAAGAGTGTTGCTGTAGAGAGACACTATAGGAGAGTGATACTGCATCCAGCCTTTGCTGTTCCATTGACCTGGGTTCGAGTCCTGGCTCTGCCTTCTGCTCATACACCTTATCATCAAGGAACGTGCTTAATCTCCCTCAGCCTCAGTTTTCCCAACTATAAAGTAATGATATTAATGGTCAACTCATGGAGGCGGAAGACTTGAGAGGTCTATAAAGTGTTACACTCAGTTCTTAGCATGTAATAATGTTGGATAACTGCTAGTACCTATTTTTGTTGTTGTTGTCAGTGTTATTTTTATCTTCCCATTTCACCATTTCACTTACATCCAGCCTTGGTGACAAAAAATGAGACTCAATGGGGGCACTCTCTACCTGCCCTCTGCCCTGGGGTAGCCACAGAGTTTCCAGAGTGGCCTCACTGATGTAGAGGGTCTGCAGTGGCTTGTCCTGGCTCATCTTTCTCACTGGAATTCTCCACCCAGGGCTCTGACATGACAGACATATCTTCTGGGCATCTTGTCAAGCATGGTCAAAGGCCAGACTAAAACATCCCCTGCCATTATGTTGTGGTACCATGGAGAGAGCACAAGATCTGGAGTCAGACATCTGAATACCATTTGCTCACTGTCTACACTTGGCCAATTAGCTCCTCTCTAGAGTCATCAACTTAAACTGGGTTTACTACCACCCACCTTTAAGATTCATCATGAACGTAAAGTACTCTTCCCAATGTAGGTGACAAAACAAATGATACCTATCACTACTGTTACATTTGTGAGAGCTTCTGTTGAATTCTCCCTTGGGTTTCAAGAAATATTGATGATTGCAGAACCGGAATCAAGTTCAAAGATCGTGTCTCCCACCACATCCACTAACACAGAAGCAGACTATTTCAACCCACCTAACTTGCAAAGGCTCCAAGCCTTTATCTTTTACATGTTACCCTTTTCCAAGTTTTCCCTGTTTTAGGATGCATGTACGTGTTTATGACTTAGATACGTGGTTGTGGCCACTGCTGTGGTTTCCCTCCCATGAAGGGGAAAGTTGGCCCTGCACCATAAGACCAAGCCCTTCTTTCAAAGTGAGAAGGGAACTGGTCCTCTGTGCTACATCTGGTTATGGGAGGAAGGGTCCTCAGCAGGTGCTTATTGATACAGCACTTCAAATTCACAAACAAAACCACTTTGTCCAGGATGGCTGGGTCTAAATGAGTCCAAGATTCTGCTGCCACATTGTACCCAGACACTTAACCCTCACTTGTTTTCTTTTTTTTTAATCCTCACACAAGAAATGAGGATGTTTTTCCCATTAATTTTGAGAGAGAGAAAAAAAATCAATGTGTTTGAGACACATCGATTGGTTGCCTCCCACTCGCGCCCTGACCAGGACCAGTAATTGAACATGCAAACGAGGTATGTGCCCTTGAACCTTTGGTCTGTGGGCCAACACTCCAATCATTGAGAAACCAGCCAGGACACTGAATCCTCATTTTAAAACCATTATTTCCCTTGCCAAATTCCTTCTTCCTTCTGTTGAGTTCTCTCTCAGTGGCTTCCATCCCTCCCTAGAATAGGACTTCAGTCAGACACACATGCACATGCATCAACCCATCAGACATATCTATAAATGTTTCAACGCCCACTTTGGACAGCAATGAAGTCCTTTTTTCCTAGGCAATTTGAAAATAAGTTGTTGCTAATAGTTCCATGGGGTTAGCAATGTCTCCTGCTATTCACCATGAGTCCCAGCTTAGCCATGCCAAGACCCACCCTATTATAATAGGTGAGGAAAACTGAAGGGTAAGTGATTGAGCCAGGACACACAATCTGCTGGGGGCGGGGGGAGGGGAGATAAGAACTCTAGTCCAGGGCTCACTCTCCACACCACACGGCCCCCTTCCATTACACAAGCTCCCTCCTCTGTGCTGATGCCTTTGATTTAGTCAGATGGTTGGCACATTTTTTTGTGTGTTGTTTTTTGCCAAAAAGATGATTTGCTTTCCAAAAATCTCAAATTAAACAGTTGGTAACTGTTTCTTAAGATAAAGAGAATTGAATTCTTACAAGACATTGTGGAAAGCAACTTGACAGGACTGTGGTGTTTCTGTTTCCTATCTCTGGATGCCAGATGCCTGCTTTCTCCTGTCTAACCAAGAGGGGTTTGTGATTGGGTCTGAATTCTCAAACACTGTTTCCTGGAAAAGACCTTAGAGCCACTGGTGGGTCTGGGAAAAAGGGGAAAACACTGCCAACCCAGCATTGGCATGCTCCGAGGCACTTTAGAGTCCTGAACTCAACCTTGAGTGCTAAAAGTATTTTGGCAATTGCTGAGTTTCAGAAGCAAAGGGGAACTAAGACTTGGGGCTCTGCCTACTTAGGGGGAATAAAAAGCAGTCCAGAGCTCCAAACCAACTGTGTTAACCAGTGTCACCTTTCAAATAAAAACTTAAATTTGAATCATCCAGTTACATATTGGTAGCAGAGTATTTGATATAGTTTAGGGCAAAATGTATTTACTAATATTTTACCAGAATTTTTATTTTCCATGTGGTAAAGCATTTTGCAGGAATCTTCCATTTCCCCAAGTAATTTAAGATAAACCAGTCCAAAAAAACACAATGGAGATAAGTACAATTTATGTGACCACCTGTTAGAAGAGTTAACTCAGAGCTGACTATGCAAATTCACTATTCTGGAGAATAGCTAACATTATACCCTTGGCTTCTCAAGGAAACATAGCATTTCCAGTTGTTAAGCTCTTTCACTAACCTGTGATTATTTTACAGTCAATTCCTGTTTCCAACCCTTCTCAGAACCCCCTTTCATACATAAAAATATGGATGCATATGCAAAATGGGAGAATCTCTGTATTAGTTTGCTCAGGCTGCCATAACAGAACACTACCTATTGGGTGGCTTAAAGCAACAGAAATTTCACATGGTCTGAAGTCCAGAAGTCCAAGATCAAGATATTGGCAGGTTTGTTTTCTTCTAGGGACTCTCTTCTTGGCTTGCAGGTGGCTGTCATCTTGCTGTGTGTCCTCACATGGCATTCCCTCTCTGCACGTGCCCTGTTGTGGATCTCTCTGTGTGTCCTAATCCCCACTTTTTATAAGGACACCAGTTAGATTGAATTAGGGGCCCACTCTATTGGCCTCATTTTAACTTAATCGCCTCTTTAAAGGCCCTATCTCCACATACAATCCCATTATGAGGCATTGGGGGTTAGAGTTACAGCATATGAATTGGGAGTGGGGGCAGGAGGACACAATTCAGCCCTTCACAGCTTGTCTTTATGATAAGTTTCCAAATTACATGAAACAATGAAGTAATCCATTCCTAATTTAACAAAAGTCCTGTGGTTTTGGGGGGCTGTGCAGAAACATACAGCCAGATCTAATGTGTGGTTTAATTTTAGAGACTCATGCTTCTCTGTCATGGATAAATGATCTCTCTGTGTGAAAATAATACCTGAGCTGAAACTTGAATATTGGGAAGTAGCCAGCCATGTAAAGTTTCTGAATATGAAAGCTCCAGGTAGGAAAAAAAACTGCAAATGCAAAAGCTCTGAGGTGGGGATGAACTTGGTGTGTTTAAGAAACTGAAAGAAGGCTGTTGTGGCTGGAGCAGAGAGAGCAGGAGGAGGTGAGTCAGAGAGACAGACATAACCATGTCACATAGGGTCTTCAAGGCCCTGAAAATAAAGAAGTCTGAATTTTATACTAAATTCAATGAGAAGCCCTTGGTGGGTGTTAAGATGGGAGGCGATATGATCAGATCTATGATTTATTTTGGCGGCTGTTTGGAAAAGGGATTAGAGTGGGACAAAAATGGAAGCTGACAGGATAGTTAAGAGACCATTAAAATAGTCCAGGATAAGGGATATTGATTGTTTAACCTAGAGGTGACAGCTGTAGAAATGGAGAGTTAATATGTTTTTAGATGTATTTTAGATATGGAACTGATTAACTAGATGTGACAAATTGTAACCAGACAACCAAGGGGTCCAGGCTGCCTGTCACTACTTCAGCCAATTCAGCAGAGACAGGGATGAATCATATACGAGCATTTATTCCAATCATGCTGGCAGTATGGGAGAGCAGCAGGTCATCCACAAAAATCTGCTCTGCACCCCACCATAAGCCAGCTGTTTATATTGGGTAGAAGGACAAAGATTATGTGGGGAAGTAGGAATTACAGGCATGGAAAAGTAGGCATGGGATAATCATTACAGGTTACAAGTTATGCAGGCTGGCGGGGAGGGGAGAGGCAGTTAAAGGAGGGGATCGCAAGAGAGTGGGCACCTCCAGGCACCCCAGGACCTGACTATAAGTAATAGGGAGTTGCAAAGATCAGGTGCCTTCTGGACTAGATTGTTTCAGCCACGAGGTTGTAAATCTTTCCATCATGATAGGCAGTTCTTGGGACAGGAGGATGGACTGCATTCCGATGTTAGTTCCCATGTCCCAGGGTATACAACTCCAAGCCAGGTGAAAATGTGCTTTTTCTAATCAGAACAGAACCATCATGGTTAACAGAGCATGATTCATATTTCCTATAATTGTAGCTGGTCCCCAATATTCTATTTCTGCCCCCTAATAATATGAAAAAAAGAATGGAATGATTCTCAGGTTTTTCTCTTAAGAAACTGGGAAGGGGTAACACTATTTCCTGAGAAAGAGACTGAGAGAAGAACAGTTTAGGGAGAAGAAAATGAAGAGAATAAAGAGTGCTCTTTGGGGCCCATTACATTTAAGATGCCTATTAGACAACCAAGTCAGGGAGCAGCTTGACATCAAATAGGCAGTTTGATTTATGAGCTTGCAGCCCAAGGAAAGGTCAAGACTGGAGATTTACATATGGGAGTCATCTGCATATAGATGGTTTTAACATCATGAGACTAAATGAAATCCACCTACACTAGGGAAATAGTGTAGCTACAGAAGAGGACCCAGGACAAAGGATGCCAGAAAGTCAAGCAAAGAAGATGGAGCCAGTTAAGACATTAAAAGAGCATCCAATGAGATGAGCGGGAGAATCAAACATAAAAAAAAACAAAACAAAACTGCTGTTATAGAAGCCAAGCGAAAATAATAATAATAATAACTACCTGGGTTAACTTTACTGTGAAATTAGTACAGATAGTTCAGAAGGTTTGCTGAGTTGCTTAGTCCCTTAAGTCAGTAATTTCTATCTCACTATTCCCCATAGAAAGAAAAACGGCAGGGTCATGGACACAAACTGCCTCCCAAATGCATGCCCTTAGTCTCCTAGGAAGATGAGGAGTATAATAATAGCTTAGCTTCCTCCTCTCAACCACTGGGGTAAATCATGTCTCATTTGCATGAACTCACAGTTGGTTAGAGCGTGTCCTGATATGCCAAGGTTGCAGGTTCAATCCCCAGTCAGAGCACATACAAGAAGCAACCAATGAATGCATAAATAAGTGAAACAACAA